TAGAAGTTTTGAACCAAAGAAGTGACATCATCACTTCTATGTATTAAAAAAGTTCACTCTGGCCACAGTGTAGAAAACAGACAGGAGGTGCAAGGAGGAAGACCGGACGGACAGTGACCAAGAGAGAAGTGTGACTTGGAATTTGGGGATGGCATTGAAGGTGAGAGTAGAGGGCAGACTCAAGAGATTTCAATGCCGTGCAATCCACAAGTCTTATGCTACACTGTGACAGAGTCTGAGAGAGAGAGATAGGGCTGACAGAGACTTCCCCAACGGAGGCAGATGAAAGTTCCTCTTCCTGTGAATGGGAATACCAGAGGAGAAATTGATTTGATGTGGAAAATATCAAAAAATCAGTTCTGAACACCATGATCTTGATCCCATGATTTCTTTGATCTTCACAAATTCTTGTTACACTGCCCTGGTGTTATACTGCCTGGGTAGCTAAATTTTCACTCCACCTAATCTTCCTTGTCTTTGATGTCTGAAGGCCAGAAGTTCCCTTCAATCAGGACTGATTGAAACCAGTGGGATCTAAGATGGCTGCCAGAGTGACCACTGGACAACCTCTAACTTCATTATAATACAAAACATGAAGATTTTTCCCCTTGATTACCCTATCTCTCACCTCATTTCTTTGTGCTATATATCTATATCTGTCTTTACATACATACACAAATAGTGATTATATCTGTATTCTCTGACCCTCAGGAAGCAGGAAGTTGATTTATAAGTTTATCTCTCACTTCTCCTATTCTTGACTGAGAATAAAAGTCTCCTTTGCTGCTCAGTTGGGGAATTGGTTCCATAATTCAGAGAAGGAAAAAGACCTAGCCATTGGGGTAAAAACTTGGTAACAATATCTACCTATAACATAAGAAAACATGTCAATAAGCAATTAGATATCTGAATCTGGTCAATCTTTAGACCAGTGGAAGTAGAATCACCTGGAGCTTTTGATTATTTGATTCTATCCCAGGCCTAATACCTTAGAATATTCAATGAAAATGGCCAGTTTCAGCGAAACAGTGGGGAAAAAAATTCAGTCCTCACTGGATAATTACCCTAGTTAGCTTTTATCTCCTTTACAAGGCTGAGTACCTATAATATTATCATAGAAAGATGGCCAGACCAAGTATTAAGTCCTTTATTACATTCTAAGAGTAAATGTGCAGAATAATCTGAGACATGTCAGCAGAACAAAAGCCCTATCCACATCCTTCTACTTATCTTGCCATATTTGTGTTATAAAATGATGCCACCTGCTACAAATTAAATGACCCAGGAACCAGTTTCCTAGTCAAAGATAAGAAATAACCCAGTAGTTCCAGTAATTCATTGAAGTGACTTTTCCTAAGAATCTAGCTTAACTGATTTACAATTCTGAGTAGTAATTGTATTAGGCAGGTTTCCATCACTGTAACAAAATATTTGAGATGATTAACTTATAAAGAGAAAAGATTTATTTTGGCTCACAGTTTTGGAGGTCCCAGTGCATGATTCGTTGGCCCTTTGCTTTTGGACCTGAGGTGAGAGTCCATGTTAAAGCAAAATTGCTCACCTCTGGCCTTCAGACATCAAAAGTTATCAAATGAGAGAGAGTAAGGGACCAGGGTCCAAATATCCCCTTCAAGGGCACACCCTAAATGACCTAAAGAGCTCCCACTAGGCTCTGCCTCTCAAAGGTTCCATCACTTTCCAATCATGTCACTGATGGGGATCACACCTTTAGCACATGTATCTTTGGGGGAACTCACCCAAGCCACAGTACCCACTAACTTATTGAATCATATATTCTCTTTGACCAGAAAAGAGGAAAATTGAGAAAAATTAAAAATAGAAAAACAGAAGCAGAGTCACCAATGTGAGCATCAGTAAAGGAAGGTTCAAATGGTCCCCACTTTCTAGTAGATGATGGTATGACTCAATACCCCAGCTCTTGATGGCTCAGCTCTTCAACATGTATCTGCAGAGTGCCTGCTACATGCCAGGCATTATGCAAGGTGGTACGAATTCTCAAAGCTATTATCATAACACCTTGCTCTATGTCCATCATGATGGACACTACTGAGAAAACAAGGCACATGTGTGGACGGTGATGATGGAAGGGTCCACTCTGTGCTGGAGAGGCTGTCCAGGGAGCAAGGCCTCCCTGATGGCACTAATCCCAGCCACTTGTGAGCTTCTGTAAAAAGAGTATTACAGGCATTTCAATGAAAATGGAGAATGTAAATGATCTGGACAGAAGTGTTTGGCATGAGGGTGAATCCTGGTGAACAAGGGGCAGGCTAAAAGGAGATAATGTGAAAGAGGAGAGCCACATGAGGTCATTCCAGGGTTGGTAAGCCATGGTTGGGTTTACATTTTTTTCTCAATGTGACAGGATGCTATGGAGGGTTTTAACAAGGGAATGCTGTGATCCGATAGATGAGTTAGAGGAAGTCAGTACTCTGACTTCTATGTGGGCACAAGACTGTAGAGAAGCAAGTGCAGAATCAGTGGGACCAGTATAAAGGCAACTTAAGTCCTCCCAGAGAGACAGAAGAGTGACTTGCACAAGGTGGTACCAGTGGAGGAGATGGAAGTGGTCAGATGAGGAATGCATTTTGAAATTAATTATCAAAAGTAGAGAATGTACTGGGCTAGAGAGAGGAGTTAAGAAATATGCGAGAGTTTTGATCTCAACAGCTAAAGATCATTTATTGAGATTGGAAAGACAGAAAAAGAACCAATGATTTTGGTTTTGGACATATAAATTGGAGAAGCCTAATTACATTCAAGTGTAGAAATTCAGTAGGTTGTTGGAAATGGAAGCCTGAAGTTCAAGAGCTATGTTAGGTCTAGAGAAAAACATTTGGGAGTCATCAGCATATTAAACTTAAGATTGTGCCTGTTTAAGGAGCACAGAGGAAATTCTGATTTATTTCTTTCTATTTATACCTTCATATGAAACCTGCTCGCATCACAGGAGGTAACCTACACATGTTCCTGTTTTCAAAATAACCATAAGGACTATAGAAACTAAGAGGGAGAAATATAAATGAGCTTAGGAGATAGTTGTCTGTTTATAAGATTAATGTGAAAGGTGGGAGTAGCACCTTTCCTGATCTCTGTGCTAGTAACTCCCTACAGCTTATGAAGACAGAAGGAATGAGTCCACCTAGTTTGCTTTGCTTGTTTCTCTGGTTTGTTTTTGCTATCCAGTTACCAACGGGATACTTCATGAAGCTCTACCAGACTTGTTGTTAGAGCAAATTTTTTCAAAACTGTTAATCACATGTGTTGGTGCCTTGCTCTCCCAGTAACCTTTTTCTATTCTCAATAATTATATCTCACACTGTAATTTTAAGAATTCTACATTTCAGAGCAATTGTATTGCTGTATTCAGCATCTCATAATATTCTCTTTGTTCAGTCATCTTTCTTATGATCAAATCTTTTTACTGTGCTCACAAGGCACCATATGTTACCATTGCTTAATTTTTGTCTTGAAATATTAATTTCTAGCTCTTAGGGATAGACTGAATAAAACACATGGATTTTGCTTTCTATTTTGTCATAAGAATCACAAAAGATACTTACTGGTTATAAAATGACATAAATGACTGGTATCAACACCCTGATAGCCTATTGAAAAATTAGATGATTATCATTAAAGAACAATCTTAGGGCACTCGACAGTACAAGGTTATATGAAAACTGTGCAGCATAATTAACATCCCTAAATGTTAGGATCCAACATTCTTAGGACATTTGAGAGCTAATGGGCCCTTAGAGCTTTGAGTTTAAGATTTTCCTTTAGAAACTATTATTCTCTGAGGACATGGGAACAGGATTACTTTATTTAGCTTAAGCTAACCCAAAATAGAACAGAGGAAATAATTCAATGAGTGAACATATATCTTTCATTGTTTCCCATTCATGCCAAAACTGATGTGTCTTGAAAATACTAAAGCACTTACAATGGGGAAAATATCTTTAAAATGATTATATTTATCTTCAGACAGGAATGTTTAGTACTCTCAATAATTACATTGGAATAAAAAAAATGTTGATGACTGTATTATTTACTAGTTACACACAAGTAAACATGGTGTTTAATAGCTATACAGGAAGGAAATTTACTGAAAGTATCTAATAATGTGTCCATTTATATCCCACCTCCCTGAAAAGTCCCCAAATCTACAGAGAATAGAGTGGAAAATTTCACTCCCAATTTAGACATCTCTCCAAACTCCAGAGGAAGCTGCTGGGCTGGCCTTGCATGCAGCTAAAACCAAGCTGGACAACTGTATGATGAAACACCCAGCCAGCAGTCCTAGCACCAGAGGGGACCAAGAGCTACTGGGTACAGTGGACTCCGCCTCATGTCAGGAACACTTTGGTGTGAGAAATTAAAGACACCTTCCCTGAACTGATGGTAGTCAAAATACTAATGCACTTAGACATTATTTTAGCAGTTCCAATTTTGAGGAAAAATTCTGGAAAAATGCCCAAATTCGAACAAGCATTCTTCGTTATTATTTCAACAGCTGCTGCAAGTACAGCAAACAGCTGTTTGGGTTTCTTAAAGCTGATTCCAACACAAGGCAATGAAACCATATTTTACTTCAAATCTCTCTCAAATTCAAGTTATTTGAATTCTCTTAAGATGAGGGTAGTGTGGGAGATGACAATTATCTGTCAACACTAGCAAAAATGATTAGAGATTATGGAAAAAATCCCTTCAAAGAAAATAGGTGAGGAAAGGTAAAAGAAAAATTTTTGTCATTATTGTGAAAACTAAATTTCCAAACTAAGATTCTAGATTCCTAGTTAATGCTTCTTCAACCACCTATTTTACTCTTGGTGGGTGGAACCACATTTTAAACAGTATCTTACTGAACATTGCATCACTGAGTTGTGGAGATGAGACAAGATCCAGCTTGTGATGGAATGGATGGTCCTGAGAACAGAAAACCTCAACACTCTGTACACCCCAAAACAGTACCTGAACAGTACCTTTCATGGTGGGTGGTGTATATACACTCTGCTTCCTCTGCTTAGGTGATGCATTCTGTGACTGGAGAAAAGAGAAAAGAGTAAAAGCATAAGATGTAAATGATGTTGCCTTCAGACCTGGGAGGGAACTAAACACTGTACCGTGTTTTAAAGAGCTTTTTGACATCCATACCAAGAAACACAGCTCTAGTCAATGAGATTGATTATACATGTTCAGTGATTTCACAGGCTTATATGTGAAGCTGTAGGCTCTATTTTATCATAAAGCTATTCATCCTTTTCAATCATAAAGTTACTCTTTTAAGACTAATTTATTTTAAACACATATACCAACATGCTATTAAAAAGGAATCTCAGCCCAGCCTGTGCCACACGCCTGTAATTCCAGCAGCTCTAAAAGATGATGTAGGAGAATCACAAGTTCAAAGCCAGCCTCAGCAATTTAATGAGGCCCTAAGCAACTTAATGAGACCCTGTCTCAAAATTTAAAAAAATTTTAAAAGCAGACGTTGGAGTAGTAGGTCAGTAGTAGAGCGCTTGCCTAAAATGGGAGGCAGTGGGTCTATTCTCAATACCACATGTATATAAATAAAAAATAAAGGTCCATCAACAACTAAAAAATCTTTAAAAAATAAAATAAAAAGGGCTGGGAATATGGCTCAGTGGTTGAGCATCCCTGGGTTCAAAACCTGTTGTCAAAAAACAAGAGAATCCAGGTAGCTAAATCCAACTGGATTATAGTATATATACATACATACATATGTGTATATTTCATTTATTAAAATAGTAACATTTATATAATATATATTTCAATATCATTATGAAAAGTTATTTTGACCCTGAAATATCTTCTTATTTTTATCATTTCTAAATGCAAATTCTTTCTTCAAAAGCATTTTTTAAGTTACTAATTCTTTCCACTTGAGAGAAAAACATGAATTTTGAGACAAATTATACTCCATGGGATAATAATATGTGTTCATAGAATTAATGAGTGGTTCAGGAGGCATAATGAGGATCCTTGGTAAGTAATAGCAATTCATTACTCTCTTGAGTTGACACGTTCATCCTAAGGTCTCTATTTGAAATTATAATGTTGAGGTATTATTCTTTTGTTTGTTTAAAAGGTAAGCCCTTCACTAACAAAACTGCTGTATAAGACCATTATCTAAACTCACTGGATCATGATTAAGTTATTAAAAACAGGATTTGCATTTAGAATAATCATTTCAGGGTCAAAACCACCATTCCACAGTGATATAGAAATATATGTAAAATAAATATAATATTATTTATTCTAATAAAAATATATGTAGTCTATAACCCAATCAGATTTTGCTACCAAACTTTGCTACTCCTTTTTAATAGCATGTTGATTTATATTATAATGTGATAAAGGTAGGGGTCTTAATCAATGACTTTCAGTGTCTGAATTATTCAAAGCAGTTATTTTTTTTGCTTTGAAAATCATAGTTATAAGACACTTTTGGGTGAGTGCTTTTTCACTGCATATTAGAAAACATGATATACAGAGTTTAAAAAAATCATTAAAACTGTTTCATAAAGTTGACTTTATGAGGCAACTTTCTTTGTGAAAATAAAAATGTAATTGCCCTCAAACTCATCAAAATGATGATATTTACCTAATGCAAAAGAAATCTATTAAAAAGTTAAAAATTCAAACAGTTGCAACTGCCCATCAAGTGAGCAAATAGTACTGGTAAATTTCTCCAGAATTGTTTTTTGGAACTAGTCTATTATACATGGGTGCAGGAAGGGTGACTACATTAACATTAAATGTGTGGCTGATTGGCATTTCTGGGGCACTTCTATTATTTCAGTCACATCAGGTTAATTTTGTGAAGCAATCACCTCTGGAATTTCTTTTATATCTTCTTCAATACACATATTCAAAGATCGAGTCGAAGATCAATTTTGCAGAAGTGCCTTTTTGTTGTTTAATAACATAGCAGTAAAAACTTATGTAATAAAAAATAACAACTTTATATAAGTGCTTAGTTTTCCCAGTTACTCCCTTACTAAAAACTTTTGAAAATCCTGTGAGATACTATTTGGGATTTTGTCTTTTTACATTTTCCTCTTTGGGTCTTGCTGTATGCCTACTTGTAATCATGGGAATTGACTAAGTCCACAGATCATTCAGTTTGATATTTGCTCCACTTCTGGGCACAAGTTTCCTGCTTCCTTCCTATTTTGTATATTCTATACTATCAACTAGCCTCACTTCCTTTTTTCTATCTGAACTCCTACCGGTGTATATGGAGGGACTAGAAGATTACAATGTTCAAGCTAGCTGAATTTATCTTGCTGAACCCCTAGGTTCTGTTCACCCAGGTTGAGAAGACTTCATTCCCTCCAGACTCTGGCCCTGGGGCTGAATTTGCTCCACACGCCAGAAGAACATCTCCTTCCTCTAGGATTCTGACATTGCCTGGCCCTACCCCTTGTTGCTCATAAATAATCACTCAATTAATTAAATTATTGGCACTACATTCTATCACTAAAACCATCACTTTATTTTAGAAGTTTTTTTAAAAATATGGTTTTTAGTTGTAGTTGGACACAATATCTTTATTTTATTTATTTTTATGTGGTACTGAGGCTTGAACCCAGGGTTTTGCATATGCAAGGCGAGTGCTCTACTGCTGAGCCACAATCCCAGCCCTATTTTTGAAGTTTTTGCAAGGCTTGTCATTCCATAGAAAATCAGAGAATTGAGGTAACTGAGAGGCAGAGATTTAGTGACCTCATTTTACTGTTCAGTCAGGAAAAGCAACCTAAATAGTTTTTACATCACAATTTACATTATATTTTATATCAAATCAAGTCAAGCTAATTTTTTTAAATTTTAACACGTTTTCACAAAATCTGGGAAAACTTACTTCTCCTTGTGTGTTGTTGGTCACCCTTTTGTCATCTATTTCTGAAAGAGAAGTAGTTATAACTTATTAGAAATGTAATATTCTTCCTTGTAGTATACAATTAACATTTTCATCAACATATCAAAATACTTTAATAATTGTCTATGCTTATACGTTGCAATGTGGCTTAGAGCTGCAAAGGACAGCAGGACAGGGGTGGTTTTCTTCTGAGATAAACTTCTCCCAATGGTTTTAAAAAAAGGCAACGAAAATGCATTTCTCATGTTGCTACCTTTCAGTAGTCCAGAAAGAGAACCAGGGAAATGACTGTCTGAAACAACCACTGGTATTACCAACCTCATAGTGTCAAGGCACAAGCAACCTCTTCTTGATTTTGTTCCTGCTATCACTGTGTATTGAGTGTAGCCTCTATCAAGCTTCTTCAAGTTTTCCATCAACAAAAACAAACCTCCTTTCCCACTCAACCAATCACTATGACTGCAAGGAAGGCAGAATCTTTTCTTCTACTGCCCTTGGGAAGAACCAGTTACTTTCTCAAACATCTCCTATGACAGTGCCCAGGCAAATTCTACTCAGGTGGTGTAAATGGTTGTGAGAAAAAGGCGTTAAAGGAAGAAGTGGTCCTATACACCTCTTCTGCAGGGGGAGAAGTTTCCGGGCCAGGCTTCTTTGCTTCCTTCTCACTTACTCTACATGAATTCTGCTTCTTGGCTTCTTGACCCAGTTACATTTTCCTGATCCTTACATTAGCCCGAAAGCTGATTGTATGAGAAGTCCATCAATGAATTTTACTTAAGAGACAATTAAATGAATATATATTCACAAGAAAACATATATTATGTAGGTGAAATTATTTCAAAACTACATGCACTGTATTTTTATTTTATAAAAGATAATAAATGTACATGAGGATAGGCATATGCATTCATAGATACCTATATGCTACCTATAGTTACCTCTGAGTGATAACACATTTCTTCTTTATCTATATTTGTACTATTTGTTTTTCTTTTTATAATGAGCATGCATTACCCAATACTAATAAACAGTGTATATCTATGTACATATATGTGTATGGGTAGAGATATAGATACATCTATGTATGGGTTAGATAAGAGATAATTACCAAAAAAAAAAAAAAGCTCACAAATAAGACAATGTAAGAAAGTTTGGAGGTAGAATACTTTGTGAGAGCTTTTATCTAATCAGTGCATTAATCTATGGATATGAATTAGCTGGGCAGTAATTTTAGGTAGGTGGAGAGTGGCTACAAGATGTAGGTCACTGAGAACATGACTTTGGGGTTTATATTTTGTTCCTGGTGAGTGGAGCTCTCTCTTAGCTCCTGGTGGTTATGTTGTGAGCTGCTTTTCTCCTCCACGACCTTCTGCCATGATGTTCTGCCTCACCTCAGGCCCAGAGCAATGGAGTCAGCCATCTATGGACTGGGATTTCTGAAATCGTGAGCCCCAGATAAATGTCTCCTCCTCTACATTTTTCTTTTCAGGTCTTTTGATCCCAGGGATGAAAAACTGACTAAAACAGCCTACATGTAGGTGTAAAAAAATTATATAAATCCAACCAGGTATAAAGTTTGTATTTATGTAGTAAAACCCAAAAATATCCAAACAGCTAGAATGGAAATACTGTGTATTCTAATCTGATATCTTGGTTACTAGATTTTGAAGTTACAGAAATTTCTGATGAATTTTACCACCTTTATATAGGGAAGGGCAGACAGAAAGATATCGATTTAGGACAAAAATCATAATTGTTTGATGGAAACACTGCAAATAGCTGGCTCATTATTAGATAGTCAGGCATATTGAACAGTTCTCTCAATGTGAGAACTTTTGTTACCACATTTAATTAAATATCAAATGTGATCCATTGTGACATTAGGACCAATTGGATTGTCAAATGCCATTGTGGTTTCTTAGTATTTGGTCTTCAAAATTCAAAGGACCTCTGACTGAGTGTTTTAGTGATAAAATAGGATCCAGTCATTTAGCTTTTCACTTTTTCTAGTTTCTAATTCGAGCACACATAGAATAGTGTCTTTCAAAAGAAATGAGAAGAACTTCATTGACTGCAAATTCAACAAAAAAGGTTGTTATTATTTTTATTTTGTTGACATACATCAACTAGTTATGTCATGAAAATAAGGACTGAGAAAACAATTCTGTATTTATCATGAAATTGAAGAGTAAAAACAAAATGACTTTCAAGTCAAAATGACTTAGATAAAAATACAACAAAAGCCCCCAAAAGATCATAATTTTCTTGAGATCTATTGTTTGAAGTGTATTTCTCCTTCCTTTCCAGATTGCTATTAAATTGAATGGCCAGTCTTTTTGCCTCCTGAGCACCTCACGTAAACACACAGATACTACAAGCTCATAGGGTACACTTACTGGAATGACTTGCAGTCATAATCACAATGTTCTCTCTAATTTGTAACATGAACATTGTCACTAAAAACGAAGACCATAAGAGCACTTGCAAGTTAGATTGGATAGAGAGAAGTGATGGGAGGAGAGGTGAAGGGAGGGGAGGATAGGAAGGGCAGCAGAATAGAATAGAAATTATGATTGCTGTATGTATATAGGTGACAGTATGACTAATGTGATTCTGCAATCTGTACAATCAGAAAAAATGAGAAATTATACCTCAATTGATTCAAATGTATGAATTGCCAAGATCATTGTAATGTCATGTGTAGCTTATTAAAAAAAAAAAAAAAAAGAGCACATGCAAGGTCTCACCAACTCTGCACTAGGACATCAAATGGTGTTTACAATGTCTCCAGGGCCTCAAATGATGACCCAATGGCTAGCTGAAAAAGTGTCCAGGAATATTGGATTCCATGTGAGATATAAGGATAGATCCCAGTGTTCAAATATGTTTAGCTTTTTCATGAAACAGAAAAATAATATTATTTGGGAGTAGGGTTGAACAAAATTAGTCTATTAACTGATGAGAGATGTATTAATTTATTACCCATAATTAAAAACTACAAATCTGAGTCTGTTGTACCTACTTCAGATTTGTCTTATTAATATTGTCCCCTCTTTCAAGAGGCATTTGATCTGAAAGAAAAAATTCCTTGCCTTGGGAGAAAAATGTCAGTCATCTAAGAATGAAGGAATATACCATTTTGAAGGAATATACCATCATTGAAGATGGAGATAGGGCTATAAATGGTTCTAAAATGTTTTGAATGATAATTAGTTAGAAATTCATGATGTATTTAAATTCTTGAAAGGAACATAACAAATTCAGGATCTATATGAAAACACACATAAACTGCATACACCAATCATCTGATGATCTAGATACATCAATGAGATCTGATCAGAGTTTTGAAATCTAATTATAACAAAAAATTAAGTAACTACTATGTAGATGATGTTTAGGAGTAGGAAACAGGGAAGACAAAGACAATTTTTTAAAGTTTCTGAACTATAAAAGAGAGAGAACTGCAAACAAGAAAGTAGCAGAATGTAAAGAGATATAAAAATAAGGAACACCTAGAAAGCCAGGGTTGAGGTTGGCAGAAAAATTTGTATTGTGACCAAAGCACAGGAGAGCACATGTAATTTCTAACATGGTCTTCCACTCATCTGTCATGACCACACAAAATCACTTGATCTTCTTGAACTGCAGGGTGTTCCTTCCATGTAAAATGGGGGAGGATGTACAAGAACTCTTTCTCTGAGTTCCTTATTTTCTCATAAGCTTGTTTCAAGGAGCAAAAATGTGGAACAAAAACAGGAACAATTTCCCACTCCTTAAGTTCAGACTGAATAGAGCAATGTCCTTCCAAAGAGTACAGTATGGAAAGGGGGAGAGGTGAACAAGGACCTTCATCATAGAAAGGAAACTTGGCAAGCATTAATCCCACCAGGGGACCAAGGTCAACATCACCAGTTATAAATCATAGTGATAGCACAAACCCTTGTTATGAAGTCATAAAGATGGCTCCTTACCTCAAAGGAATATTGACAAAGGAATATTGTAAAATATACCTGACCCATATTACCCTAAACTGTCAAGAACAATAAAAACAAACCTAAGAAATTATCTTACTCCAGAGCAACCTAAGGAGACATAATAAACGTGACAGTATAGTAGATGGAGTCCTAGATAGGTAACAGGTAAAGGACATTAGATAAGAACTAAGGGAATCTGAACCATGCACACACCTGTAACCCCAGCTACTCGTGAGGCTGAGGCAGAAGGATTGAAAATTCAAGGTCAGCTTGGGGACACTTAGTGTGTCCCGCGCATTCTCCCTGAACCCCAGAGCAAGTTCCTCCCCCGGAATTCCCTCCTACTGTACTTCCCCAACCAATGGGAACTCTCCAGGAGTCCCTTAGCAGGCTGAGGTGAACAGCAGGAGTCCAATATCCATATGAATGCAAATCTTAACATAATCATATCATCTCAATGGCTAGCTGGCTTCACCTGTCAACCAAAAATGCCATGCATCATATTACTTGGCTGTGACTCTTAGCATTAAATGATTCCCAAATAAGTCCAATGATAATGATATTTTATTTACTGATTAAAAGTGGAGAGAGGTGGAACAAACTGTGAAAGAAAATCCTACTGTCATCTATTTAGTTATACCCACCCACCACCTTACATTTGTTCCTCATATCCAGAATGCTGCTTTCCTCATACTCAGTACTGTTGTCCCCCACAGTTCTGTTCAGATGGTACCTCCTCTTGGAAATCTTTCCCAATTCCTGGCTCACCCATTTCTAACTGGAATTCATCCTGCCCCCAGTTTCCCACCCAACACCCACTGTACTCTCTATGCCTGGCCCATAGAACTCATCATTGAACACTCTGTACTATGATCATTAGTGTGTTATCTTCCCTTTCCTGTGAAGCCTCTGTGTTTGATTCTCTTCCATAGCTCTTACTATATTATCACAGTTGGCACACTATTACAGCTTGTCAAATAGATATATCTTAATACCCATTTTTCACAAACAAGACTATCTGTTTGTTATTTCAAAATCCAGTAGGAGGA